ACAGGATATGGGCCTGATATTTCACCATGGCCAGGCTAGAAAACCAATAAGTGGGAGCTGGTCCCAACACTGCTCTGCCAGCTGCACTCTGCCGGAACTGACATTCTCCCTCCCTCTGACTAGATCACTCCTGGGACAGACACTTCTTAATTCTCTACTGACTATGCATCCTCCCCTTGCTTGGAAAAAATAGTTTCCACACCTTCCTCCCTTGCCACCCACCAGGACTGCCCCTACCTGAATCCACTTACCCTGAAACGATCCGGCCTGACAACCCCTGACCAGAACCAACAAACACTCAGATGAACCAACAGTCCTCCCGTAGGCCTGACAGACACAAACCAAGAAGGAACCCTGGTCACAGTATGCCCTGGTTTTTAACACGTCCCACTTGTCAGACTTGACCTGATCTGCAACAAAGCTCCACCAGACACTTTCTTTCTTTGCCAGTCTGACCCTCCAGAATCAAGTTCTCACCCCTCACCTGTAGCAGTAAGCACATGAAGTTTCATGATTCCTCAACGCTGGACCCAATACTCTCCTAACCAAAACAATTAGTCCCCTACTTGGCAGACCACAGACCTGGCATCGAACCCCCTGGTAAGCCACTTCCCTACACCCACCTAGCACCACACCTACCTGGAAGTTACCCCTTTCGGAATTTCATGTGAATAAATGTGTGATTATCCATTTTGCTTGGACGAATTAAAAAAGAAAGCTTATTACCCAAATGGAGAGAAACATCAAAATGCTTTGATGCAGAATGTGTTGTCATGCATTACTAACTGAATGTTAGTATTCGGTTGCAGCAGTTATTAGGTGGAGCAAATAGAACTTTGGCACTTATTGCTAAAATAATAGAATATGAATGTATGGGCGTATTGTTGCAACTATATTGCAAGGCACTGGGGAGATTACATCTGGACTATGCTTATAATTTCATCTTTTTTTGGAGATGGTTGATAAAATTAATTTCATTGAAAACAGGATTTGCTAATGAGGAGGGATTGACTTGCTTAAGCTTATACTTGTTAGATCTTAGAAGACTGAGAGGAGATTTAATTAAACACACGTGTTTCTAGACAGGATTGACAATCAAAGATAGGATAATTTTCCTTGTGGGGAATCTAGAATGAGAGGTCATAGCTTCAGGCAAAGGGGTGGTAAATCTAAAACAGGCATGAGGAGATATTACTTCTCGCAAAAGGTCCTGAATCTGTGGAATTCAGAGTATGGTGGATGCCAGAACACAATATATTTAAAGATGAGTCAACAGATCTTTAATTCATAACATTTAAGAGTTTTCGAGAGGAGGCAAGAAAGTAAAATTGCAGGTGAGATGATAACAGCCATGACAGCATAAAATGGTGGAACTGGCTACAGGGGCTGAATTGCCTAGTCCTGCTCCTAATTATATTCTTATTTACTTTCAGTTCTAGCCACTGTCATTTTCAGTTCCAATCCACTGATCTTCCAGTAAATTATACTTCACAGCAAAAATGCCACAAAACAGGCACTTTTATCTATAGAATCCCTGCAGTGAGGAAACAGGTCCTTTGGCCTAACAAGTCCACAGTGATGACCAGAGAAACCCACCCAGGCCCATCCTCCTAATCTACACACCCCTAAACACTATGGGCAATTTAGCATGGCCATTCTACCTAGACTATACATCTTTGGACTGTGGGAGGAAACTGCGCACCTGCAAGAAATCCATTCAGACACAGGGAGAATGTGCAAACTCCACACAGACAGTCACCTGTGGCTGGGCTCGAACCCTGGCCTCCAGCCCTGTGAGGCAGAAGCGCTAACCACTGAGCCACCCTGCAGCCCCCTTGCACACTGATCCATGATTTCTAATTTATGTTTGCTTTTCTTTTGCAGTTAGTGTGATTACTATTGTGATCTTCTCCCAGGTAAATGTGGTCTCTCCAGATGCATCAGCCGCGACTACTAAACATGACATAGGAAGATTCATTGAACGTTATCACTGACATGTTACCTTGTTGGATTGATAAGTACTATTTCCTCACTCCCTGCATGATTCTCACTCCCCTCTACACTTTTGGTTCACACAGCCATCGACATGTCTGTTTGGTTAACAGTCGTTTTAGTTTTTGATCATTTTATTACCCAGAACCTGAGGGCAGGATATTGCAGTAAAAACAAAAGACACGGTTGTAGATGCTCTCTGTCTGCTGTTCTGTTCCAAAGACAAAATCCCTTCACTTTCTATTTCATGCTTTGGTTGCAATCAAAAACATAGCCTTGGGTTCCAATCGAAAGCGAGAATATTACATTGAAACTGCAGGGGTAAAATTGAGCTGGATTGACTGCTCTTTAACCACACTGCTTCCAACATTCCTGTCCATTTTGCTCAATGGTCTGACTATGGGACACATTTTAACAACCAGTAGAATCTGCAGGAAACTGAGAGGGTGCAAGAATGATGGGGATCTGAATGATCCAAAAAGGGAGAATTGAAGGAAATCCATCATTTTACTCTTCACTGTATCTGGAAACTTCCACCTGCTGTGGATGACGTTTGTGACTTTTTTATTAGTACAAATTTCAAACTTTCATTATTTAACAGGTTTCAATGACTTAATGCAAATCATGGACTTTACCAGTTTTATGGTTCTTGCTGATGACCTGATGCACAAGCACGTGTATTTATAGAGTCACAGAGTAATACAGTGTGTAAATGGACCCTTCAGTTCAACTCATCCATGCCGATCAGCTATCCTAAATAAATCTAGTCCCATTTGCCAGCATTTGGCCCATATCCCTCTAAACCCTTCCTCTTCGTATATCCATCCAGATGCCTTTTAAATGATGCACTTGCACTAGCCTCCACCACTTACTCTGGCAGCTCCTTCCATACACACACCCTCTGCATGAAAAAGTTGTCCCTTAGATCCCTCTTAAATCTTTCCCCTCTCACGTCAAACTTATGTCCTCTAGTCTTAGACTACCCCACTCTGGAGAAATGACCTCGTCTATTTATCCTTTCCATGCCTCTCATGGTTGTATAAACTTCTTTCAGGTCACCCCTCAGCCTCTGACACTCCAGGGGAAATAGCCACAGTCTATTCAATCTCTCTTTATAGCTGAAACTCTCTAACACTGGCAACGTTCCTGTAAATCTTTTCTGAGCCCTTTCAAGTCTCACAACATCCTTCCTATAGCAGGGAGACCAGAATTTCATGCAATATTCCAACAGTGGCCTAACCAATGCCCTGTACAGCCTTAACATGACCTCCCAACTCCTATACTCAATGCACTGACCAATAAAGGCAAGCATACCAAACGGCTTCTTCACTATCTTATCTACTTGCGAGTCCACTTTCAAGGAGCTATGAACCTGCAGTCCAAGGTCTCTTTGTTCAGCAACATTCCCCAGGACTTGTATAGGTCTTGCCCTGATTTACCTTTCCAAAGCACAGCATCTCACATTTATCTCAAACTCCATCTGCCACTCCTCAGCCAATTGCTCATCTGATCAAGATCCCATTGTGCTCTGAGGTAACATTCTTCGCTGTCTACTACATCTCCAATTTTAGTGTTATCTGCAAACTTACTAACCATACCTCCGATGTTCACATCCAAATCATTTATATAAATGACAAAAAGCAGTGGACACAGCACCGATCTTTGTGGCATATTGCTGATCACAGGCCTCCACTCTGAAAAACAACCCTCCACCACCATAGGTATGCGATGGCCTAGTGGCGTTGTCACTAGACTATTAATGCAGAGACCCCAGTAATGTTCTGGGGACCTGGGTTTGAACCTCGGCATGGCAGATGGTGGAATTTGAATTCAGTAATAATATGAAATTAAGAGTCTAATAATCACCATGATCATTAGACCATTGTTGATTGTCTGGGAAAATCCATCAGGTTCACTATTGTCCTTTAAGGGAAGGAAATCTGCCACCCTTACCTGGTCTGGCCTACATGTAACTCCAAACCCCACAGCAATGTGTTTGACTCTTAACTGCCCTCTGGGCAATAAATACCAGTGTAGACAGCAACACCCACATCCCATGAATAAATGAAGTCGAACCTCTGTCTTCTACCTTCGAGGCAGTTCTGTATCCAAATAGCTAGTTCTCCCTCTATTCTGTGTGATCTAACCTTGCTAACCAGTCTACCATAAGGAATCTTGTCGATCGCCTTACTGAAGTCCAAATAGTTCAAGTCCACCGCTCTGCTCTCATCAATACTCTTTGTTATTTCTTCAAAAAACTCAATCAAATCTGAAGTGACCCAGCCCAGATTCAAAAAAGAAACTGAAGAATAGGATTAAGTAGAGACCCAACAGTGAGTTTTGTGGCTGGAGTAGGAGTTGTGGTTCGTTAGACAGGCAGAGAACGCCAAGGGATTATAAAGAGATCGTCACCTTTGTCTAATTAATACCTCAAGACTAGAGGCAGCTGATATACAAATGCATGTGAACTGCATGACACACAATCAAATGATATTTTCTGTAAATTGTATTGTTTGTGTCTTAATAACTCTATTTTTCCCCGAAGATCCGAACACATGAACATCAAACAATGATCTTCTCCAGAAATACTGAGGCTTGGTTCAGCAATCATTCTGCCTCACTACTTCTCTGAGCTACTGCCATGCTATGATAATTTATTCACTTCCTCAAATCCAGCCAACTCTCTAAATTGGGATGAATCACTTCCTGCTGTTAAGTACCTCTCTCCTCAGCCTCTTCCTGTAAATATCATTGTTCCCATCCCAACCTCTATCCCTTCCTCAGTGTTCCTTTTACACCCAGCTGTCTCACATTCGATCTGATAGTGTGCAGTAGGATCGTTAAGGCTCTGAATTTGGAATTCCTTATCTCCGGTTCTATGTGTATAGTCTACAAAATACATAGGAGATTCTTAGCATCTTGAAAACTCACGACCACTTCAATCTCGAAGGACAAGGGAGGCACATTTATGGGAACACCACCTCCAAGTTCCTCTCCAAGCCACTCACCATCCTGACTTAGCAACATATCATCTTTCCTTCACTGGCACTGGGTGAAACGCTGGAGCTTCCTCCCGAACGGGATTGTGGATCAAACGGCTGCACGTGGACTGCAGTGGTTCAGAAAAGCAGCTCGCCATCAGCTTCTCAAAGGCAACTAAGGACGGCCAATAATGCTTCTGCCAGCGACGTCTACGTCCCATAAGTGACTAAAGAAAACCTTTGAGAATAAGGTACAACAATTGAAGACCCAATCGTGCATCTACTGCGTTTAGGCAGCTTAATTTAATGGTAGATAACAAGGTGTAGAGCTGGATGAACACAGCAGGCCAAGCAGCATCATAGGAGCAGGAAGGCTGACGTTTCGGGCCTAGCCCCTTCATCAGAAATGGGGGAGGGGAAGGGGGTTCTGAAATAAATAGGGAGAGAGGGGGAGGCAGATAGAAGATGGATAGAGGAGAAGATAGGTGGAGAGGAAACAGACAGGTCAAAGAGGCGGGGATGGAGCCAGTAAAGGTGAGTGGAGGTGGGGAGGTAGGGAGGAGATAGGTCAGTCCAGGGAGGATGGACAGGTCAAGGGGGCGGGGTGAGGTTAGTAGGTAGGAGATGGGGGTGGGGCTTGAGGTGGGAGGAGGGGATAAAAAAAAAAAAAAAAAAAAAAAAAAAAAAAAAAAAAAAAAAAAAAAATTTGGGATGCGGTAGGGGGAGGGGAGATTTTGAAACTTGTGAAATCCACATTGATACCATTGGGCTGCAGGGTTCCCAAGCAGAATATGAGTTGCTGTTCCTGCAACCTTCGGGTGGCATCGTTGGGGCACTGCAGGAAGCCCAGGATGGACATGTCGTCTGAGGAATGGGAGGGGGAGTTGAAATGGTTCAAGACTGGGAGGTGCAGTTGTTTAGTGCGAACTGAGCGTAGGTATTCTGCAAAGCGGTCCCCAAGCCTCCGCTTGGTTTCCCCGATGTAGAGGAGGCCCAACGGGAACAGCGGATGCAGTATACCACATTAGCAGATGTGCAGGTGAACATCTGCTTGATGTGGAAAGTCTTCTTGGGGCCTGGGATGGGGGTGAGGGGGGAGGTGTAGGGGCAGGTGTAGCACTTCCTGCGGTTGCAGGGAAAAGTGCTGGGTGTGGTGGGGCTGGAATGGAGTGTGGAGCAGACAAGGGAGTCACGGAGAGAGTGGTCCCTCCGGAAAGCAGATAAGGGTGGGGACGGAAAAATGTCTTTGGTGGTGGGGTCGGATTGCAGATGGCGGAAGTGTCGGAGGATGATGAGTTGGATCCTACTATCTCTGATTTATTTTAATGGTAGTTTTCTGTGAGAGAGACAGTGGTTCATTAAGCACCATGTACAATTTAAGTCGTTTCCCAGCAGGACCATAGAATGAAGGCAATGGTGCTCCTCCCGCTTTTTGTTATTAAGTTTCCGCTAATCAATGTAATGAGTTCCCAGCATCAGACGTTGGGAAACCTGGTTATTACATCGTCAGATAATTGTGGCTGAATTTTGTGACACTGGCACAATGGAATACAAGAAACCATGCGAAACAGGAGCAGGAGGAAATTATTCTTTTATAGACTGCTCCATCAACGTTAATCTACATTGGTAATATTCAATATTACTTTACATTCACAATAGGCAATTTTTTTAAAAATTTCGACATATCCGGGAGTCCTGGAATCATTATGACAATTCCTCATCCTGTCCATTGATTTCTTAGGGCAAATCTACCCACTGGCAATGCTCCCAAAAATTATCCACTATGAATACTTAATAATCTCTCCTGGTAACAGGACCTTTTAGTAACTTCGCTATTGCCAATTGTTAAAACTTTGTCAAATGAAAACTACCTAGATGATGTTATTTTTCTATACAATAGAAACAAAAAGTGCTAATGAAACTCAATCAGCCTGACAGCAAGTGTGGAGATGGAATTTGTTTTATTATTATTTCCAAATGTCCAGTGTCCACAATAGTTTGTTTTTATATTTTACAACGTTCAGTCCGAACTGTCCACCTGTTCGTGATTTTTTTTTCTCAACCATTTGATCAAACATAATTCCTGATATTTGAACGTCAATTTTCTAATCTTTACTCTTTGATTTCTCCTCCTGTTTCCACCTATGCCTTCTGACCTTGTTACAACACAGCCAGGAAAAATCCCAGAATATACTTCCTGTAATACCTCAGTTGTCTTATTTTCCACTGGTTTTTCAACCACAGTAGGCACAGTCGAACTGTGATCCAGCTATATCATTACTGAGGACTAACTGTATTTCTGGAACAGAGAATTTCTCCACTACTCTTACGACTACGTCTCTACTTTTCACCAGACTCTCCATCTCCATTTTATATAATGGAACTCTACTCTCCTCACCATGAATTCCACATATTACCATCTTTTCTGGCTATACTTCTGAATTACGTTTCTTCTCATCGCTCAACATCAAAGATTGACTTTCTCCCATACCTCTTCAAATCTTAATTTCTTGACCTGCACCCATGAATAAACCTTTTCCACGCAATTAAATTCCTTTTAAAAACCTGGCATTTTCTTCTCAACCAACCCCTGACCGGGTTGTACATTCATTTGCAGTATTTTACCTTTCCCTGGGCATTCCTTTATCACTTTAATGAAACCCGCTGGCTCATCTACTTTTCCCACATCCATCTTCCCAGTACTATTTCTAAGCGACCAACAGCGTGACTTAATGTGTCCCACTTTATTACGGTGAGAACACCTGAGGTTTGTTTACTTCTCTTCCCCCCTCATGGGTTTGCTGTCCACCCTTAGGTAAACTATCTTTCCTATTTTCAATGAGATCTTCTTTTCTCTTACCCACCTGAGGATTTCTCTTTTCCACAATTTCTATCGCTCTTAGATTAAAATTAATGTCTGACACCAAATTTTGATTTATGACTAACTCATACTCATCTGCCATTTTCAACTGCTAATCTTGCAGTCTTAGTGCTGCTCTTCGACGTGGATTTTCACTACATCAGGAAGTGAATTTTGAACCCCTCAAAAATAACAGTTCCTCTAACAGCATCATTTGTTTGATCTATTTTCAATGCCCTTGTTCCACCTTTCAAAGTTACTTTGTTTGATCCTTTTAATCTCTGTGTGTTTGACCAGATTCCCTCCTTAGATTCCTGAATCGCTCTCTGCAGTTTTCTGGCACTAGTTTATGTGCAGTTAAGATGGCTTTTTTCACCTTATCGTACTCCCCAGACAACATCTTTGATAGTGATGCAAACACCTCACTAGCTTTACCTGCCAAATTTGTTTGAGTAAATAATAACCACACAGCCAATGGCCATATCATTTTTTAAACACACTTTCTCAAACGAAATGTAAAAGGCTCCAATGTCTTTCTTGTCAAACTTAGGCTATGCTTGGACATAATTAGATCTACAGAAGGCCATTGCCTATCATGGGTTTGCTCTTTATCATTATCCTCATCACTAATCCTGCCTATTTCCCCCACCTCTTATTTTCATCGACATTCACTTTTCTGTTCCAACTTCTGAAGTTTGCTATTTCTCCCTTTCTTCTGCTTGGGCTATTCTTTCTTTCACTATTTCTTCTGCTTTCAATTGTAACTCAAACTGCTTTATTTCCTTTTCGTATTCAAGCTGCTTTAATTCTTTTGTTCTTTGTTCCGCTGCAATTATAGCTTTCTCTTTTGCTTTCACCTCTAATTCAAGTTGTTTCATTTGCAATTGAATTTTAGCCATTTCCAATGATTCCAATTACATTTCTGGCAGTTATAAATGATGAGCTATTGCAACAATCATCTCCTCTTTTCTCGTGGACACAGACATCTGTTCAGATGAATGCAACTTTGACAAGGCGGCCTCCAAAATGTCCACCTTCTTCCTCCACTGAGGATTGTCTGGCACCAGTTGACAGGGTCATCAGCCGACTCCAACTTATCTCCCGCACTTCAGGCCTCACTCCTTCTCTTCCCTCCCACAACAGCGATAGGGTCCCCCTTGTCCTCCCCTAGCATTCCACCAGCATCCACATCCAGAGGATCATTAGCCACTATTTTCACCACCTCCAGCTGGATGCCAGGTCTGGACATATATTCCCCTCCCTTTCTCCCCTCATCTGTCAGCCTGGCACCAGAACTATTCCCTCCAGGAGACCCTTGTCCACTCTTCCTTCACTCCCAACAGCCCCAAAGCCCCATGGCACCTTCCCCTGCAACTGCAGAAGGTGTAACACCTGCCTGTTTACTTCCCCCCTCTTCAGTATCCAAGGGCCCAAACACACCTTCCAGATAAGCAGCGTTTTACCTGCACTTCATCCTATCTAGTCTACTGCATTCACTGCTCCCAATTTGGTCTCCTCTACACTGGGGAAACGAACACCTATGTTCTGTCTGCAAAAAAGGCCCTGAGCTTCCAGTTGCCTACCATTTCAACACACCATCATATTCCCTGGCCAACATTGCTCGGGTTTCCTGCAGTGCTCCAGTGTAGCTCTGTGCAAACCAGAAGAACAGCACCTCAATTTTCCACTTGGGAACTCTACAGCATTCTGGACTCATTATCGAGTTCAACAATTTCAGGGCTTGAGGTACCTTCTCCTATGTCTTCACCCCAATCTCCACACACCAGGCCTTGTTATCACATGGTCTGCTATTACACACAACCCATTGTTAGCCACTAATTGGCCCCATCAGTAGCCATTCATTCTCCCAGGCTGATTGTCATCCACTTCTTTGTCTGTCCAACCATTCTTCTCTATCTTTGGGCTATATTTCCACTTATCATTTACACCATACACCCTCCTCACACTCAACCTTCTGCAGTAAAGTTTTTTTTTCTAGTTACCATCAGTTCTTGAAAGGGTCACCCGAAATGTTAACTCTGATTTCTGTCCACAGACGCTGCCAGATCTGCTGAGCTTCTCCAGCAATTTCTGTTTTTGACTCAAATCCAGCTTACCCACCAATTCCAAAAGCTTTGAATTACTCACCTTCTGTCAACCACCCCAAGGGACTTCTTCCACGACCAGGAAACACACCCTAAATAAACCAAACAAATGCAACACCCAATAAGAGAAGACCAACACTCATCCCTTGCTGCCTTTGAGTCCAATAAACCTAAACCCAAACTGGAATTAGAGACTTTGATTCGGGATGAGTTCCCACTTTGTTATGGACCAGACCAAATCCTGTCAAAATATATCAAGGAGATAGCCTAAATCCTAAATTTTATTTTAATTAAATATGTGTGTAAGGCACTTAATTCCAGATATGATTTGATTGGTCAAACTACTTGGCTTTAAACAAAACACATTTTATTCTTACACCACAGTCAAAACACAAACAAAAAAAAAGAAAAAAAGGCATCACTTTAACTCTGTCAAAATACTTAACAAAATAAGGAATTATTTAACTACTGTTCATCAACTGTTTCAATATAGCAGCATCTGTAAACACACACATGCAAAGGCAAATTCAGCAAAATACATTTCCTGCACTTTCTATCTCATCCAGTGCAGGTGCAGGAACACCGATCAAAAGAACCTAGTTGCAAAAAGAGGACTCAGGGTTTTGCAGCCGCAGAACAGATATGTATCTATCAGTTCCAAATTCAAAAACCCAACTTCAACAACTGAAACTAAAACTAAAACTAAGGATCTATATGAGCTTGACTCCATCCTCTCATGCTTCTTTGATCTAATTTTTAAAAACAACCAAAGCTATTTACTTTGCTTTCCATGGATCAGATACCTCAGCACCAAGAGAAACAGAACAGAATAAATCCCTCTCAAAGGCACATATCATCACAATGATTAATGTCTATTCTATTGCTAAGGTTTAAAATTGTCGAAGGGCTGATGGCAAGATTAATACAACATTGAAAAAAGGGAACTAAATAATTGAATAACGTACTTAAGTTGATAAAATACACTAAGGATGGCAGGACCGGTGCTGTATCATGACTGCAGTATGTGAGAACTTCTGAATGCCAGTTTGTCTTTCCAAGCCTATGTTCTTATGTTATGATGCATCCGTTTCTACACGCCTGCTCTACCATTCAATATGGACAGGCTGATCTTGGGCTTTAAATTCATTTTCCTGTCTGTTTTGAACAGTTAATGTACACAAAAAAAAATGTTTCATTTGGTCTGAATATGGGGAATGTTGGCACAGTTCATAATTATGGATCGTGTTTGAATAGCTGTTGAGTATATAAACAATACCATGACTGCTTGTGTCACTGCTGTGACCTCCGTGAACTACTTTCATACCTGTTCCTCCAACCTGGAAATACTGGTCAATAGTAATGTTATGTGTGTCCTGAAATATTTTCATTCTGAAAAAAAAACAAGTCAGTAACAGACGATGGTTGTGTACCAATGTTTCTCTGGAAGTGGATAGGTACAAAACCAAATGTTTTTAACAAGTGTTCTTTTCAGAAAACAGTGTGTACTTACAGCAACCTCAACTATCTGACAAATTTTCTGTGGAATCCTGCAATTCATGTTAATCCTGTTGATTCATGCATACCTGCTTACTTACAATTGAAGAGAAATAACTTGTAGTCTGTGCCAAAATACCCTTTTCTGAGACTGATACAGATGCAAACCATGTTGCTTCATGAAAAAAAAATTGATAGGGTATTATTATCCTGCCTTGAAATGGTGTGTGTTTGCCCTAACTCTACATAGACAAATATGAATTTGAACATTTCTGCCATAGAAAAGTCATTTCGGTCTCTATGTTAAACCTTTCATTTATCTGCATCATCCTGAATCTTTTTGCCATATACATGCTTGCACAGATGTCAATGACCATCAACAACCTTAGATTTCTGCTTCATTTTCTCACAGATTATTCAACCATCTAAAAGCAAACGACCCATTAATCTTTTGACTTGCTTCCTGACAGATTCTGGTTACATATTTTTGACATAACCTCCCAATTAGTCTGAAAATGCATTGCACCCCATTCTTCAGCTCCTCCTTGAATTTCCTCTGTGCAGTCCACAGATAAAGGCTTTTCTACATAAACTGAACTTCTTGGATAATGCATCAGGTCAATATAATGCTTCTCAATGTTTAAAAAAACTGCCAGTGAATTGAATTCACAGCATATCATCCAAAATATTTTGACACTGACAGAAATACTGAAAAACAGGATAACAGGTTTTAATATATTCCTGATCCAGGAATCATTTTTGTTTTCACTGTTGTTTCAATGTACACCGCAAACTCTATTTGTGGCTATCATGTCATCGAGTCATACAGCCATAGAGATATACAGCACAGAAGCAGCCCCTAGGTCCAACTTGTCCATGCTGACCAGCTATCCTAAATAACTCTCGACCCATTTGCCAACATTTGGCCCATATCCCTCTAAACCATCCCTATTCATATACCCATCCAGATGTCTTTTAAATGCTGTAGATATACCAAACTCCACCACTTACTCTGGCAGTTCATTCCATACATGCACCACCTCTGCATGAAAACATTACTGCTTAGTCTCTTTTAAATCTTTCCCCTCTCACCTCAAACCTATGTCCTCCAGTTTTGGGCACCCCAACCTTTGGGAAAACACCTTGGCAAATCACCCTATCAATGCCTCTCATGATTTTATAAACTTCTCTAAGGTCACCCCTCAGTCTATGATGTTCCAGGGAAAATAGCCCCAGCCTATTCATCCTCTCTCCACAACTCAAACCCTTCAACCTTGACAAACTACTTGCAAATCGTTTCTGAAGCCTTTCAAATCGAATAACATCTTTTTCCTATAACAGGGAGACCGGAATTGCTCGCAGTACTCCATAACTGGCCTTACCAATGTCCTGTACAGTCACAACAAGACCTACCAACTCCTTTACTCAATGCACTAATCAATAAAGGCAAGCGTACAAAACGTTTTCTTCACTATCCTGTCTACCTGCAACTCCACTTTCAATGAACTTTGAACCTGCACTCAAAGGTTTCTTTGTCGGTAACACTTCCTCAGACCTTATCATTAAGTGTATAAGTCCTGCAGCGATTTGCCCGAGCTGCACAGTTAGTACCTTGAACAACAAAATTAAGAGTATTAACAAAAAAGGTGTCAGGATGCAGTTGAGCAACTCAAATGACTTCCACAAAGGAGAAGTGAAATCAGCTGTTGCAGCACAGTGCCATGGCAAGTTGTTAATTATAGTGGCATATTTACTTAAATAATAATAGGGAACAATCCTCTGACAGCTCATCACAAGCATGGTGCTGATAACTGCCTTCACTGTTTTCTCAGTGGAATATTTTGGTTGCAGCTCTTGACAGCAGAAAGTTACAAAAAGATTGAAGGTCAATGCAACAATATACCAAACAAAACAGTCTAAAGTTACTATATGTGCAATAAGGTTGATAGTGCAGGCAGAGGTTGGGAACTGTAAATTGATTCACATATACATGTTATTAACCCAGTACAATATTATATCAATGATTACTGCCAATAGATCTACCACTGCCATGATTGCCAGGTACTGCGTGATGCATTTGAGAGGCTGTAATTTACCCATGAGAGAATCGCATTTGCCACATGGTTGACTGTAACTTACCCATGAGAGAATCGCATTTGCCACACGGTTGACTGTAATTTATATTTAGTCCATGGGTATTGCCAAAGTTTAGTTGTTATAAATAACAAATTGTGTGAACAAGCATTGCTGCGTTCATATTCTGATTCTTATTTGTTGCTAATTGTTTGCTAATTTGTACAATTATTTATTGGTGAACAGGAGAATGTAGGAATGGAATCAAATAAAAATATGCTTGTTGATATCATGTAGTGATAATTTGTGTGAAGCACAAAAATCTAAAATTGCACATTATGTCTGAAGCAATCATGAATTTTGAAAAACATGTATATTCCTTTACTTTCAACCAACGTCTCCAAAATTAAATACAAATAATTAACAACAGCTCTACCCTGTCTGGGTATGACTATTTGTGAACCTTTGTTCATGAAAGGCGAGAGGGACAGACCAGGGAATCACAGGCTGGTATGTCGAAGAGCTGTGGTAGGAAAACCCATGGAACAAAGCTCAGGGATAGAGTTAATCTCCACTTGGAGAGACTAGGATCAATCAATGATACTCAACATTACTCTGCAAGCGAGAAAGTACGTCTAACAAATTTTTTGAAGAGATGACTAGTTGTGCAGATGAGAGTAGTGCATTTCATCTTGCCTACAAGAATTTCAGTAAAACATTTGGCAAAATCTTGCAGTGGAGGCCAGTTAGGAAACTAGGAGCCCATGGGATCCAAGGCAATTCGGCAAATTGGTTCAAAATTGGCTCAGATAGAGGAAGCAGAGGTAGTGGTGTTTCTAGTGCGGGGTCCCCTGTTGGTTGCTATGTATATTAAAGATCTTGACATGAATGTATGAAGGGCAGCCAGGACATTTGCAGATGATAAGAAAATTGGTGCGTAGCAAATAACAAGGAGCTAAACGTTACACTGTAGGATTGAATGGGCTGATGGTGGGAATTAGAATTTAATCCCAAAAAGTACGAGGTGATGCATTTTGGGAGGATTAGCAAGGCAAGGGAGTACACATTGAATGTCAGACTCTAAAAAGTATGAATGATTGGAGTGTTGTTAGTGTCAATCTCCATACATCCTCGAAGGCAGTTGAATAGTAGTTAAGAAGGCACATGGTATTCTTGCTTTTCTTTGTCAAAGCATTAAATGAAAACAAAAGAATGTCATGTTGGAGATGTATACAACATTAGTTAGGCCACAGAAGAAGTATTATGTACAATTCTGGTTGACATACATAGGAAGGATGTGACTGCATCAGAGAGGGTGCAGAATAAATTTATTCAGATATTCCCTGGGCTGAAATGATTCAGCTGTGAAGAGAGACTAGACAGGCTGTTTATTTATTTCACTTAGCGCAGAGAAAGCCAAGGTAGTACTTAATTGAGTTCTGCAATTTTCTGAAGGGCATAGACTGATAAATAAGGATAAATATTTCCCTTAGTAGAGGATCAACAATGAGGGGCTGAGGGCATA